GGTGAGTGCATGAGCCAACTCGACGAATCAGCTAGGCTTTATCTTGATGAATTGTACGCGCTACAACTCGACAAGTTGATGAGACAACTCGATGAGTTGAGCTGGATTTTCCCAATATTCCAGAGAAAACGAAGGAACTCGATGAGTTGCATAGGTGCACTCGACGAGTTTAGCCAACATGGACTGTTGACTGGAGTGTTGACTTTCATTTAATTTTAGGGTTTGGTCAACTATGGACCTTAGAGACCATGGAGGGGTAAAATGGTCTTTTCATCCTTTGAGATTTAGTGGAGGAGTTAGCTTAGCATATTAAGTGGTTATTAGAAGTTGCTTATTAGAGATAATTATATTATGTAGGCGGAGTCTATACTGTTCATGGGGTGCTAGATTTACTCGCTTACTTTCGAGGTAAGTCTTCTCATTATACTTACATGGGTGGTAGTATTGTGTAACCGGAGGATCTTATTTGAGATATTGACCTGAGGGTCTTATGTGCTTATACTGAGTTATGTGATATTATGCATTTTTTCTTTGTGATATATGTTATATTATTTTGTGCTTTACTGATTCAGGACCGGAGGGTCCAAACCGAGTTTTGAGACCGGAGGATCTTCACTGAGATATACGAATGGAGGGTCCAACCAAAGCTGTGAGACCGTAGGGTCCTCACTGAGACACATGATCGGAGGGTCCACATCGAGCCGTGAGACCGGAGGGTCCTCATCGAGACGCATAAGACCAGAGGGTCCATGCTGAGTTATAGCCATGAGAGGCTTATTATTTGTGTATGTGATATTTTGGGGAACTCACTAAGCTTCGTGCTTACCGTGTTGTGTATTATGTGTTTCAGGTACTTCTTAGGATCGCGGGAAGGCGTTGGCTTGATTGTACACATCTGTCGAGACTATGATTGAGGATTTTGGGATACTATTATTTTTTTGTGTAATTTTGTTTGACATTTGAGATAATTGTGATTTTTTAAAAATATGACATGACTTTTTATATGCTTTAAAAATGAAAATTTGTTTGAAAATTTATGGTGTTACAGTAATACTGGGAGCATTCCAGGCATGGGCCTACTGATCATGATTGTTTATTTCCTCTGCATGTGGTACTTTCGATGTTGGTGCGTTATTGGAAGTTGGGAGACTCCTGAACCAACTGGATTGGATAAAGTGAACAATTAACGGTTGTTGGGAGTATCAGTCGTGCATCAGAAAGTCTCTTGCAGAGTTGTTGCCTTATGAATCTCGTTTGTCCGCGAGCTATCATTAGAGGTTTGGTTACCAAGGTTGGGTATCAGTTATGGAGTCTTGAATCATGAAGTTCATTGTGAATGTCTCGAGTGATCTGCCAGGTGGGGGTACACTTGAGTTGATAAGGGTTTGATGCAATGTGAAAATTTTGGAATTTATCATATTTTCTCGTAGGATCAGTGGTTGGTAATGGCATGTCAGGGAGTCAAGGGTTTATTTAAGGTTTTTGGTACATCTTCTGGATTTGGAATTAGTTGAAATTCACGATCGATGTGTTCTGAGTACTTCATTCTGCATGTTTTGTGGTGTTCTTAGTCAAAGACAAGGGTTGGGTTCATCAAATGGATGAATATCAGTCCTGGAATATGGGTTCTGAAGTTTAGATCTAATGGGTTCCTGTTCTCGAGATGCATATTGATAGAATTGATTCGTTGATTATAGTTATGAGATTCCGTGGCTCTGTGGTTCTCGCTAGACGTTCGGTCTTATAGCTCAGAAGTTATATAATATGTTGGCATTGTACGTGCTTCTCTGCATCGGTCATATAGATAAGACTTGCATTTGGGAGTCGCCTTGTTTTTGAATGGAGACTTCAACAGCAGTAAATAGTCAGGGGTTCTATTTTCCAGATGGTTCTCGTCGTGATTATGCACTTATGTGTGGGATTATCATGATGGCGATTGGCCAAGGAGGTTTACAGCCAATCAAATCTGCGGGTTTTCAGCTAGAGGTTCCATCGTGAAGCGGAAACAAGAGCTAATTTCGAGGACAAAATCAAATTTAAGTAGGGACAAATTGTAACATCATGTTTCCTGCCATTTTTTAGCCATGGACCGAAAGTCAATTGTGTAAGGTTTTGGGCCTTAAGGAGGCAAAGTTTAGTCCTTGTGGAAGGAGGTAGTGATAGTTAAGAGATTTAACCCTTGAATTGTGTTTCGGGCCGAAGGGTAGAAAGGGAAAAGTCATAGGTCGGGTTCTTGCATGAAATATAGATTTTTATTCGAGAAGTTTTCAGTCCAAGATATTTAAATAATATTGTAGAGCTCTTCAATACCTTTCTAGGGATATAAAAAATGTTGAAAACGAAGTTGGAACGAAGAAGTTATGACCAGTTGAAGTTAGGAGGGTTTTAGGGCTTTGTCTAGTACGTTGGGCGTACTCTTTGAGTACGCAGTGCATAATGGTGGAAGGGGCTACGGGTAACTTTCAAGTACATAGGGCGTACTCAAGAGTACGCATGGCGTACTCTATCCAACTACAAACCTTAAGCTTTAGGGTTTTACCCCTATATAAGCTCATTATGTCCCTTGAGCCTTACCTCTTATCAGCATCCATACCTCCTAAACCCTAATCTTGACCTATAGCCACTATTTTAGTGTTCTTGAGTTCTTGTGAAGAATCTTAGTGTTTTCTTGTGCATTTTGAAGAGATAGAAGGTTATTAAAGACTCATTGCTTGGAGTGAAGCTTAGAGATCCAGATTTGTCACCTCTTTTACAAGCTATTAAGGGTAAAAAGTTCTTAGCTTGACATCTCTTTGCGTATATCTAGTTTGGGGTGAATCATGGTTTATTTTAGTTCCTTTGGTTTGTCCTTGTGAATCAAATTTACTCCAGGAACTTTGTCTCTAGATCTGGACATTTTAGAGGTCCCAAATGCATAAAAATGTCATCTTGATGGTTGTTATCCTCCCATGCTCGTGTATTAGCTCCTTTGATGAATTTGTAGAGCTAGGGCTTAGATTTGGGACCCACTGATCCATGCAAAAGCTCAAAGTTATCGACTTTATGGATTAAGATATGTTTTGGAATTGGCTCTGTGTAACGACCGTTTGGGCTTAAAGGTTTAATACTTTTTCTGGATGGATTAAGAACTGAGAGCATACGCGGGGCATACCTCAGTATACACAGCGCGTACTGGGTCAACATCCCGTGGGTTGGTCAAGACTTAGAGTATGCTAGGCGTACTGACGAAGTATTCAGGGCGTACTTAGTTAGTGTTGACTTCGTTGACCGGTTAACCTTTTGACTTTGACCTTTAACCAGAAGCTTGACCAGATTTAACCTAAGGGTAATTTAGGTACTTGATCAATGGCTTAGATTATATTTCTATTGAAGGTGACCAATAGAGCTAGCATCGTTAGGATTTATTTAGATGTGTTCAATCCGTGAGGTGAGTTTTCCTCACTATGCCTGTGGGTCGATGGCACCAATGTCGATGTGTTATGTTTTAGTATTCTGTAGATATGTATGTTTGTCTGCTGACTAGTCTTATGTTCATCTATTGCTAGATATGTGTTAATTGGTATGTATATGTCGACATAATAGGTGAGGTCGAGACTGTACTACTTTGTGTTGTCAGTCAACAGACCGGGGCATTCCAACCAAAAGGTTGTAGGCCGATGCATTTCAACTGAAAGGTTACGGGCCAGGGATAATCCAACCTAGAGGTTATGGACCAAGTATGTATTGGAAATCCAACAGAAAGGTTGTGGGCCAAGGCATTCCAACCGAAAGGTTGTGGGCCGGGGGTAATCCAACCTAGAGGTTGCGGACCCGTGATTTATCTGGTTATATGTTTGTGTGGTGGTACTTTGGAGGGAACTCACTAAGCTTTGGCTTACAGCTTTAGTTTATTGTTTCAGGTACTTCTGAGGATCGTGGAAAAGCAAAGGCGTGATCGTGCACATCTTCCTGTTTTTTGTCACCAGGTCTTCGGAAAACTCTGATTTTGAAATAATGATTTTGAAACAATGACTCCTTTTTGTAAATATGAAAAAAAAAAAAAAAATCGTAATGTTGTCGTATAATTTTTGTGCCAAATTTTATAAAACATTATTTAATTCTATATCATTCATTTCTTTGAATAAATATTTATGGCCAGTTTTTAATTGATTTAATTGAAAATGTAAAATGAAAATTTTGAAAATTTCATTTAAAATTAAAATTCTTTCCATCCATTTTACGTGTTAAATTCTTTTATGCTTAATTACAATGTTAAGGTATATCTTTGCGACCAACCAAAGTTTGTTGGTTTTTATCAAATATATGTTTATTTGTACTATTTTATTTTTATTTTTTATACAATAATACATAAAAATCGATCTACATTTGTTAATTATCTATAATAAAATCATAAAATTATTGAAAAACTCTTCTAAGTTTAAAAAAATAATCAGTTTAATTAGATTTTAATATATTCTAACAGTCTACAGATGTTAAAAAACAAACAACCTTTTTTTCAGACTACAGACGTTTGATTAACTAACCTCTTCTACTGCAAAGGTCTGCAAATATAATCCGCAGACTGTAGATATTTTTCCTCAAAAAAACAAACACCTAACTCACCTTTGTGGTGGTACTTAAAAATCCTTATTAGTTGTACCAAAACTTAAATAATCAATCTCAAAAACACCCGAACTGAATATAATTAAAATACCAGGAAAAAGAAAAACATTTCTCTCATACAAAATAAAAATAGCATAGAAGAAGGAACCAATCGCTTGAGGCATTTGCATACCTTCATAGTAAGCAAAATGATTGTTTCATTTTATCATAATTCTTTATTCTATTTTAGTTTGATTACTACATATCCAACAATTTCACTGCGCAGGACTCCACATTAGTCAGAAGACAAACTTTCTGTAATTATTTTCTAGCATATTCTCTGCTTTTGCAAAGACCGACAACAGATTGACAGTGAATCATTGTCCCACAATTTTAGGTGAAAAAAAAAAAGTTTACGTCCTACTGACATAATCTCAATCTGAGTTCCATACCCAAACAATACAAACTATTATGCTTTCAATGCATTACAAACTAGGCGTAGGTTGATGCAACTTACCGATTTTAACAACAAATGTTAATAAACACTCGGTAGGATAATATTTTTAGCAAATCAAATAAACAAGTAACATCCGATCTCCCCCAAAACTGTACACAGCTAAATCCCCCTACTACACACCCCCAACAATTTCCGTCTTCCATAACTTTTTTCTTACTTACATAATAACAATCAACACTCCCTCTATCGAAAATATATATATTTTTTCAAATGCATAAAAATATAACACAAATCACCCTTCCACATTGGTCATTACTTCCTCAATATCAAAAGAATTTTAAAAAAATTAATAATAATAAAGATATAAAGTTATACTCTCAAGTTTCTCTTGCTGTCTGATCGTTGGTCTGGATTGTCGCTCTTATCAGTATCGTAGTTTTCTCTGTGTGATTCTATTTCCGTACTACCTGCTTGAGATCTACGCCTTCGATCCTATACAAAATTAGGAGGAATGAAACTTGTTAATACACACTTTTTTTAATAGGGTAAATGCAAGAAATAGCAATGTACTTTTCATTTATTCGTGTATTATTATAGCATTGTATTTCCAATTTGTTATGGCATTGTATTGTGAAACTCTGTACTTTCAACTTTTTTCTCAGTAGAAGATTATACTTTGAAATATCTACCGTATTTTTCTATTATAGCATTGTGCTTATTCAAATTTTTTTATATCATGTCATTGTACTTTAAAAAGTCTATCTAATTATAACACTGTACTTCTATATTTGGTCTTAGTATGACATTAGAAATCTACTTTCGATTCATTCTATCATGGCACTGTTCTTCCAAAGAGTTTCTTAATATGGCATTGTACTTTGACAAATCTACCCATTTATATCACTGTACTTTTAATTATTAGGGCATAATACGTTAAAATTTTACCCAGTGGATAACATTGCTATAATACAATACTAGGTATAAGACCCATGTATTACGTGTGGTTATTTTAAAAAAAAAATTTAATATGAAAATTCTAAACATTTGAAAAGGTTTGAAATTAAAAATTAAAAAAAAATAAATAAATAAATAAATAAATATTGAATTATTAAAATCAATGTGCTTTTTTCTCTTTTAAATTTAAATAAATAAACAAAGGAAACTAATAAAGTTTTAATTTAGAAATGTTGAAATTAGAAGGAAAGTCAATTATTAAAATTGATATGCATTTATTATTATATTTATTGCAATTATTATATTTAAATATTATGTGGAATTTAATAAAATAGAAAAAACCACAAAATGCCATGTGGAAAAATTTTAATTGAAAATAACCACAAAATGACATGTAACCAAATCAATGAGAGTGTGACATATGGCTAAAAGATTTTCATTTATTAGAGTAGAAAAAAATATAAATGAAAGGACGCTATAAAAAACAACCAATGAAGCACATTGTTATTTCTTGCATTTGAGCCTATTTCTTTAAGAAAATAATTTAAGGGAGAAAGAGAAACACAAATGACAAATGACAAACCTCTCTGGGTAAGGGATATTCCTCGGACTCGAGCATACGTACAACTTGGCTCATTTTGGGTCTCTTGTCAGAGTCGGGATCAACACATCTTAGAGCCGTTAAAAGTGCTCTTTTTAGGGCTCTTGTAGATGGCTTTGTATCAATCGTGGGGTCCACCACTTCCTCTGATCTCCGGCTTCCAACCATCATTTTTAGCCAATCCACAAGGTTTACCTACAAATTTATAAATCTTGACAAATCAACCAATCATACAACACTCATATAATATAATATAATATAATATAATATAATATATATATATATATATAAGCCTATGGGCCTAATCTATCAAGCCCATTAAGCAAAAAAGAAGCATCTCATAATTCACTAGGTTATATATCATTCTTTGTTGTACTAATCATAAGGGAACTAAGCTTATGAGCCATATCTTGAAAACTAGCAAGATTAGAAAATCCTATTGAAGTTTAAAGAAAAGTTCTTAATGTCATTTGATGAGACCTATAATCAATTACAATGAAGAATGCCAATGATATCAGAAGTTGACATTTCACAACAATACCTCTTGGGCAGGGCGACCATAGTCAACGGGGTCTCTTCCAGTAACTGCTTCCAAAAGTACAACTCCAAAGCTATAAACATCACTCTTTTCATTCAATAGCCCAGTATTTGCATATTCAGGAGCCACATAACTATGTATAAAAAAAAATAGTGAATAATTGCTCTTCATACACAACCTCCTCAATAGTCATAAAACCGACAAAAATAATCAAAAAAATTAAACCCTTTGGGTACCGCATTAGTGGGACAAAAATTACAAATTTTTAGCCCCAAAAAGGTAAAAAAAGAAATGGACTCTCAATCTTTTGTCTGTGCAAAAGACGTAAATACCCTCCAAGTAGCAAAGAGTTATCATGGGCTTACCCAAATGTACCCATAACTCGAGTCGTGATGTGACTTTTTCCAGCACCAAGAAGTTTTGCAAGGCCAAAATCAGACACCTTTGCATTGAAATCATCATCTATCAATATGTTACTTGACTTTATGTCTCGGTGTACAACTTTTGGCTCAATTGCTTCATGCAAATAGGCAAGGCTGAAAAATAAAATATATATATATATATATATATATATATATATATATATATATATATATATATATATATATATATATATATATATCTTAAAATTAAATTATTACATCTAAGTGATTTTGAAAATAAGATTAAATGTGTCATCAACTTACGCCTTAGCTGTCCCTAAAAGAACCTTCATCCTCGCTTCCCAAGTAAAATTAAATTATTACATCTAAGTGATTTTGAAAATAAGATTAAATGTGTCATCAACTTACGCCTTAGCTGTCCCTAAAAGAACCTTCATCCTCGCTTCCCAAGTAAGATATCCATGCTGACGCATAGCTCCATGAAGCCATTGTTCTAAATTCCCGTTGTTGACATATTCGTAGACCAACATCCTGAATGTTGAAGAATCTCTTAAAATAATGTGATCGATGCTAGAAATAATAATGTATTTTCAAATTATTTGTTGTTAGGGCATTGAAGTTTGAAATATCTATCGAATTACAGAAATCGGTAACCGATTACTAAAATTGATGCATAGAGTAAGTACTATGATCTTGGAATTAATGGGATTTATGAAGAAAAAGTACCTATGAGTTCCCTCGATGCAATAACCCAATAAACGGACCAAATTTTTATGGCGGACATGACCAATAGCTTCAACCTCCACTCTGAATTCCTTCTCAGCTTGACCCCTGGATGATGAAATGGACATTTATTTAGAGAAATATAGAAGAGAGGAATTAAATTGAATGTGAAAAAACTTAAATTTATCGGAACTCACACGTTATTGAGGAGTTTCTTGACTGCCACTGGATTCCGGTTAACCAATGTTCCCCGATAAACAATACCATAACCACCCTCTCCAAGAACATTCTCCTTTGAGAATCTATTTGTTGCAAGTTCAAGATCGCGTAAGGTAAACCAATGGCCCCAACCCAAGTGGGAAAATTCAGGGAGACCGATGAGTGGAGAAGGTGCACTGATTGGATGAGAGGAAGAAGATGAAGGTTTATACAAAAATTTACCCGAACCCCCATCTTCTCCCGATTGCGATCCACAGACATCTCTATCAGTATGATGAAATGAACCTTGACTGCTGGCGTTATCTCCATTTTTCAATTTTCCCATTCCAAGATGAACCAAAACTTTGTCTGAATCTTTATCGCTGTTTTTGTCATGAATTGTGAGAAGAATCCCATCTCGTGGAGCGAAATCTCCTGTTGAAACTTGCTCAACTCGAACTTCTTTAATTTCTTTGGAAACAGTTGGGATTTGACTGTGAGAAACTCTGTCTCTGCCCCTGCCTTTGCCTCTGCTCCCTCGAACTTTCTTCCGAGAAGTGAGGTAACATGTCAACACGCAAAGAATGCCTACGATAAGTAAACCGACGATAATCCCAATTAATTCCCACACCTTAATCCCCAATACCCCAATTTGTTGGGATAATCCTGTGTTTAGATCGTCGGCCATTCCTTCTGTAGATGATAAGTACCTGCAGATTCAATTCATATACAGCTTTTAGAACCACGCTCATCTGGTTGGGGAGATGAAGTTTATAGCATTAACTCCCACAAGTACACACACTAATGGGTTGCGGATTCTTGCTGCAAAGCCTAGATTAATTTTAGCATTTAAACACAATCAATGAGTAAGATGTTAAGAACTGATGGGTGAAGTCTTAGATCGAGAATGCAAAACAGAGAAAATTAAATGGAAGGAGGACAGAAGTGTGCTTTATTTATATGTTGGCTTACCTCCTGATATACAGATTCAGTATGAAGAAACCATTGAACTAGTGGATCTCAGAAGCAAAGCCATTGGTGTAGTTTACAAACCACAGATCTTCGAAGTAGAAGATGGAAATGTGAGTGTTGAGGAATCGAGATCTAAGCTAAAATGGAGCTTTCTGCAACAGCATAGCAGAACCAGAGAGATAAGGAAAGGTAGGAAAGATGGAGTAGTCACCAGAGGTTGGTGATGGACCCTGCTACAGTAATGGAAAAGCTATCATTTTTTATCCCTTTGCAAATTGTGCAGTAAAACAATAAAATCTTGTAATCTTGTAATAATACTTGTATTAAAAACTTTATTCTTTGCATATATATAAATTTTGTTTATATTCCACATTGATTATAAATTAATATTATTGTGGTGTTAGTATGAATATTTTGACCAACAATAAAGTTGTTACAAATATCAATCATTCAATATAAATGTGAGTAATTATATAAGGCTCTATTTATGAGCTATTAAAAAAGAAAAAAGAGAAAGCTGCAAATTTGGTTATTATGGTTTTTCTTTTTTCGGTTTTAGTCCATATGGTTCTAAAATTGTAAATTTGATTTTTATCAACAAGTTTCATTATATTTTTTATCCCTAGAGATAATTATGGATGATCATCGGAATTGAGTACCCGTTTTTAGAACCGGAATCGTCTCGGAACTACCGGTTTTGAAACTGGAACTGCCTTAAGCGGTTCCGATTCCGGTTCCTAAAGTTATGGAACCGCCTTAAGCGGTACCGGTTTATATATATATATATATATATATATATATATATATATATATATATATATATATATATATATATATATATATATATATTATTACTTCTTATAAATATGTGTGTGTTACTTAGACCAGTTTAGTATATGTGACAACCGTCAAATTTCAGTCAAGTCAAAGTCAACTAAAGCCAACAAGTCAAACCGATCGACTCAACTAACCATTGTGTACTAAGGCTTACGTTAGGTAATTACTATATAACTCGTAATTCTAATGAGAAATCATAAATTGAAAAATACGTACATCTAGATCTCCTTAACCTAAAACTGTGGTAAGTAACGAACCAAACCGATAAAACAATGTTGCTTACTCATCGGGAGTGTGTAAGATCCTTAAACATGGCTTAACGGGGTTTACGGACCTTGCATTGCAAAACTGGACCCTCAAAAAGGTCACAAACGAAACCTCTCTCAATCGTTTTCACTCTATCTCTTTCTATTTGAAATCTCTCCCAAATATCTCCCAAATCATGGTTCCCGTAACTTTTTGAAGTCATTCGGGTCATTACGACCCTTAACCGGGTCAAAAATCGCTTAAAAGGGAGTTAGAACGGGTAAAATACCCTAAAAGACCCGAAACCCTGTATATAGGGCTAAAGCCTCTTAGGGCCGAAAGTCCTCTTAGGGACCGAAACTAAGAGAACCGAACCCAACAGCTGAACCGAGAGTCCTCTCGGAACCGAAACCCCCCTCTCAGGACCGAACCTCGCAGACCCAAACCCTCCCTTTCGGGCCCGAACCCGAAGTCTCGGTTCATTTCGCCTCTCAGTTCATTTCGCTCGATTTCGCTCCATTTCACTCATGTTGCTTTCGGACCGAACTGACCTTCGCTGCTTGCTATTTCGCTTCATTTCGCCTCTCGCCCAGCCTCAGGAAGACCGAACCTCCGGCCAGGACCGAGAGGTCTCGCTAGAAGTTCAATTCTTTCCGGTTTTCGACTACGACTTCATTTTAGCTTCGTTTTTCATCGTTTAACGCGGGATTTTCACCCCAAAACTTTATGTTAACATATAAGACCCCTTAATTAATGATTAATCACGTTGTTGGAATAAAACCTTATCCAAGAAGAGTGGGTGAAGTACAAAAGGTGGAGTGTTGACTTTCCTTTATTCTATGACACAAACAACCTCCCACACCCACTCCATGTCACTATTCCCCATCAGCCCATACCTAGTCACTTCATTGTACTTTTCCCACCTTTTTCCAACCACACAATTGGTCAAAGGCTAGAAAACTCTCCTCTCTCCTCACACTTCTCTCATTTTCTCATTCTTCCACCAAAGATTAAACATATTTTCTCTCTCGCTTCCTCTCTCTAAAATTTCGAGATTTAAGGGCTGATATTAGATTTTTTGTAATGATCCAATTTTCACGTCCAAAATTTCATTTTTAAAACTTTACTTAGAAAACACTAATAATTAAAACATTGTTTAATTAAACCATTTCACATCTAAAACCCACATTTGAAATCCACAACATGTAAACAACCAAAATATCAGAGTATCAATCCCATAATAAACTCATAACTGTGGAAACAAGAGTGTGTGTGTGATATGCTGCCACCGCGCCGGCTCCTTTCCCTTAGCTGAAGAGGTACCTGAAACCAAAACTGAAAACCGTAAGCACGAAGCTTAGTGAGTTCCCCCACTGTACCACATACCATATAATCACATAACATACATAAATTGTCAGGCATATCTGGGTGCTCGACCTACCCCTTCGGTCCTCTCGACCGGATGTTGCCTAGCATATCTGGGTGCTGGCCTCCCCTTCGGTCCTCTTGACCGGATACTGCCTAGCATATCTGGGTGTTGGCCTCCCCTTCAGTCCTCTCGACTGGATACTGCCTAGCATATCTGGGTGTTGGCCTCCCCTTCGGTCCTCTCGACCGGATACTGGGGACTATTTCACCCCCTACTACTACCACATAACACATATATCACATAGTCTATCTAGCATGGCTGGGCATGACCGCCCCTGCTGTCATTAACACATAAACATAACACAAGTAGTAGCAACCCTAGATGAATATCACAAAGACAATCATCTAATCATACAACTCATACTGGTGGGCCGGCATTGTGGCCTTAGACCCACCGCTACTGGAAGGTAACTCACCTCAAAGTAGTTGTTGAACTGATCGGAAACTGATTGTCTGCTGCTGTTGCTGCTCCGGACGTCCTCCGGCTATAAATCTCACAAAACGATCAGTCAAGCACTGCTAGATGTTCTTAGGGTAAAATAACCATTTTACCCTCGACCAGGTCGAAATCCAAGTCAAAGTCAATTTCCAGTTGACTGGACTCACCGATTCCACGAGCAACTCGCCGAGTCCTTCCCTTACTAATCCGGTGCTACTCGCCAAGTCCCTCTCCCCACTCACTGAGTCACCCTTGACTCACCACTCAGGACTATGGGGCCGACTCGAGTACCGACTCACCGAGTTTGAAGAACAACTCGGCGAGCTCCGGGCAATCTTCATAGGACTCGCCGAGTTGTTCATCCAACTCACCGAGTCTAAGATCATCTTCATAGAACTCGCCGAGTTCCACCTTGGGACTCGTCGAGTTCCTCGACCCATTTCCCAAATAGGCCAGATCTGAGACATGCAATGCTTCAAAACCACAGATCTAAGGTCCTAGAGCATGTTTACCACGTAAAGTTGCAAACTTTACGTGCATGCACGGCCCAATGATCTCAAACATGCAATTCCAAGCTCTTTAAGAGGTCATACACTCAATAGGGACCTCAATCACCTCAACCACAGAGACTTTATGCTACTAGGATGTCCTAAAGGTCCAAATCCGAAGTCCTTGTAGAACATTAACCATAAACACATAGAGATTTAGGTTCTTAGGGCTTAAAACCTCTTTTTAGGGACAAGAAGGGGGTTCAATGAACTAAAGATCAAGGTAGGAATTTTTCTACCTGAACTGAAGCCCTTCACAGAGTATAATCCGGATCTTTTTCCCTTCTTGCACTCTTCAACCTTCTCCTTCTTCTCCCAAGCTCCAAACCACCTTCAAAATGCTAAAAATCACCCACAAGGACACAAAGGGGGCTAAGGTTTCGTTCTACAGATCTCTGGGAGTGCTAGGGGTAGTGGAGGCTGGGTTAGATCGTTTAAATATGATGCAAACACCCGGGTTAGGGCTTTAGTCCAGACAGGGTCTACTCGCCGAGTCCCACGACCCTACTCGCCGAGTAGCCAGAGTTGATCCTGTGACTAGACCAGCTTCTACTCGGTGAGTTATTCCTTCAACTTGTCGATTCCAAGGTTAAAATGCAATACATAAGGATAGTTAATAATCAAGAATACATACCAGGAACCATGTGCTACAAATCTCCCTCACTTATTTTAGACTTCGTCCTCGAAATCTGCTGATCGATCCTGGAACAGCTCGGGGTAATGCTCTATCATTTCTTCCACCGGCTCCCAAGTCCACTCGGACCCCTTTCGGTGCTGCCACTGCACCTTCACTAACTCCACCCTCTTGTTCCTCAGATCCGTCGACTTCCGGTTGAGGATTGCGACTGGGCGCTCAATGTAATTCAGGCTTTCATCAACCTGTATATCCTCTAATGGTACCACCGCTGAATCATCCATGAGACACTTCCGTAACTGGGAGACATGGAAGGTGTTGTGGATCTGGTTGAGCTCGGCTGGCAGATCCAGCCTATATGCCACCTTGCCCACCCGGGCTACAACCCTGAACGGACCAATGAATCTCGGGCCCAACTTGCCCTGCTTCCTGAATCGAATGACGCCTTTCCAAGGCGATCCCTTCAGGAGAACCATATCCCCGACCTGGAACTCCAGGTTTGATCGACGCTTGTTGGCGTAAATTTTCTGCCGACTCTACGCAGTCTGCAGCCTGCTCCGAACCTGCTAAATCCTCTCGGTAGTCTTGAGCACCACTTCGGTGCTCCCCATAACTCTCTAACCAACCTCTCCCTAGCATATTGGGGTCCTACACCTCCGTCCGTACAACATCTCGAATGGAGGGCGATCGATACTCGCGTGGTAGCTGTTATTGTATGAGAACTCAGCCAAGGGAAGATAAGTATCCCAGCTACCACTGAAGTCTAGCACGCACGCCCGCAACATATCCTCCAGAGTCTGGATGGTCCGATCGCTCTGACCATCTGTCTCCGGGTGAAAGGCGGTGCTAAAATGCAAACGAGTACCTAACTCGTCATGAAACCTCTTCCAAAACCTAGAAGTAAAACGCACATCCCTGTCCGAGATAATAGATACTGGCACCCCGTGCCACGCCACAATCTCCCTAATATAGATGTTGGCCAGTTTCTCGGCCGAAATGCTCTCCTGAATCGGAATAAAATGAGCACTCTTGGTCAATCGATCCACGATGACCCAAATCGAATCTACTCCACGCGCGGTCCTGGGAAGCTTCGTGATAAAATCCATCATAATATCTTCCTATTTCCACAACGGGATGTCCAACGGCTGCACCTTTCCATGCGGTCTCTGATGTTCGACCTTGACCTTCCTGCAGGTCAGGCACCGCTCGATGTACCAAGCTACATCCCGCTTCATGCAGGGCCACCAATAATCTAGACGAAGATCCCTATACATCTTCGTCGCCCCTGGATGAATAGATAATTGGGACTTATGCGCCTCCTCCATCAAGATCTGGCGCACGCCTCCGTGATACGGCACCCACACCCTTTGGTGTAGTGTCAAAAGCCCTCGACTATCATAATCGAAGGAGGAAACCTGACCCACCACACGCTCGCTCTTCCGATGCTCCTACTTGATAGCCTCATGTTGAGCCTCCCGAATCTGCTCCAACAGAGGAGTCACCACAGTCATCCTCATGCAAACATCCTTGATCGGCGCCGCCTTGCGGCTAAGCGCATCGGCCACCACATTGGCCTTCCCCGGGTGGTAAAGGATCTCACAATCATAATCCTTCACCACGTCTAACCACCGACGCTGCCTCATGTTCAGATTCGGCTGATCCATGAGGTACCTCAAACTCTTGTGGTCCGTGTAGATGGTACAACGAACCTCGTACAGGTAATGCTGCCAAATCTTGAGAGCGAAAACCACCACCCCCAACTCCAAATCATGCGTTGGGTAGTTCGCCTCGTGAGGCTTCAGCTGCCTCGAGGCATAAGCAATGACATTCCCCCTCTGCATC